AAAAAATAAAAAGCTGATGAGTCATAGGGTGCAGCCACCGTTAAGCAAAGTTTAACAGCTCTCTTAATTAAAGCATGTGGTGGTATGTGTAATAAATAATGTTAAAAATGAGAAAATGTAGATTCTGTATCAAATGGAAATTTAAATTTATGTATTTAAAAGACCATTAAAGCCATAATGATATTGAAAACAATGCCATTTGAATGATATTGAAAATAGATGCCATGTAAGTGAACAGTGGTTAAATATAGTGTGTGATTAGAAAACTACATTAGTCAAAACAGTATGGAGGCTCCTCAAAAAACTAAAAATAGAACTACCAATCCCACTTCTGGGTTTTTATCTGAAGAAAATTAAAACACTAATTCAAAAAGGTATTTGCACCCCTATGTTCATTGCCACATTATTTACAATGGTCAAGATATGAAAACAACCTCAGTACCCATTGATGGATGAATGGATAAAAAAAGATGTGGTACATAATGGAATACTACTCAGCCATAAAAAGAATAAAATCTTACCATTTGTGACAAGAGGGTATTATGCTAAGTAAATAAGTCAGACAGAGGAAGACAAATACTGTATGCTTTCACTTATATGTGGAATCTAAAAAGAAAATAAAAACAAACAAAACAAAATAAAATTGATAGAGAACATATTGGTTGTTGCCAGAGGGGGATTGGATGGGGGTGAAATGGGTGAAGAGGGTCAAAAGGTACAAACGGCCTGTTATCAAATAAACAAGTCCTGGAGATGTAATGGCCAGCATGGTGGTACAGGTAACAATGCTGTATTGCATGTTTGAAAGGTGCTAAAGAAAGTAAATCTTGAAAGTTCTCATCACAAGAAAAAATAAATTTGTAACTTTGTATGGTGACAGATGGTAACTATACCCATTGTGGTGGTCATTGCCCAGGGTATACAAATACTTAATCAGTATGTTGTTCATCTGAAATGAATAAATGTCATATGTCAATTATACCTTCACCCAACTCCTTCACTAATCTTATTAGCAGAAAATACGCAGGGCTCACAACCGTTCTGTTGCAGATTTCCTCTTCAGTTGCCTGAAGATGCCACAACAGTATGTATCTCACTCCACTTTCCTCCTTACGATACGCTGCTGCTGTTCTCTTACTGAGTGGTGGCAGTCTATGTCCCCTCCCCTTGAACTCAGACAAATCTTAGTAACCACCTTGACTGACAGAATTTGATGGAAGTGAGACCGTCATATAAAAAGACAATATGGGCCCCGCTCAGTGGTTGAGCATTGATCTATGAACCAGGAGGTCACAGTTCAAATCCTGCTCAGGGCACATGCCTGGGTTTCCAGCTGGATCCCCAGTGTGGTGTGTGCAGGAGGCAGCCAATCAATGATTCTCTCTCATCATTGATGTTTCTATCTCTCTCTCCCTCTCCCTTCCTCTCTGAAATCAATAAAAATATAAAATAATAAAAAATAAAAGTAATATGGCTTTCACCTGCTTCTCTCTGTCTCTGTCTCTGTCTGCACTTGCTTTTGGAACCAAGCTGCCATGTTGTGAGGAAGCCCAAACACAGATAAAAATTCCAGCGGACAGCCTCAGTTATGATTCCAGCTAACCACCAACATCAACCCCTAGACAAGCCTTCAGAGCAGATACCCGCAGGACTTTGTGTGATCATGGGAATTTCCTGCCTGTGCTGTCCAATACAGCAACTTACCACACATGAGTCCATTGAGCAATTACAATGTAGCACGTATGAATGAAGGTGTACATTTTTTATTGTACTTAACTTTAGATAATTTAAATGTAAAAATTACATCTGGCTAATGGCTGCCACATTGGATAGTTCAGCTTCATAGCCTTTGAGTCTTCCAGCTGAAGCAACAGACATCACGGAGCAGAAACAAACCATCCCACTGCCCTGTCTGTTTCCTAGCTGCTGCAAACCATGAGAAATAATAAATACATGCTTACTCAGTTTTGAAGTGATTTATGACACATCAATCAACAACAAATACACACTCTCTATAGATTTCCCCCCATGTTTGTTTTTTTGTTCTTATAGCAAATAAAAATGCACAAATCTCTTGCATCTTTAAAATCCCTCTAGCCATGGGTATGTGTCTCTTCTTTTTTACAGCCAGTCTTTTAAATGAGTCGCCTACATTTGCCCTCTTTACTCACAACTTCTTCACTAATAGACACCCATTAGGCTCTGGAAACAAATGAGGTCGCAGTAACATTAGCTCAGGCCTATTCCGCGCCCCGCCTACCCCCCCTCCCCCCGCAGCCTTGGAAAATACAGGACTTCAGTACCACACCCTGCCTTCATGCCCTCCCCTACCTATTTCTGACCAAAGCCACTTTAGCACAAAAAGCACCGCCCCCCGCCCCCTTCCTGGCCAAGAAATTGCAAAAAACACACACATTTTTTTTCTCTTTTTTCTGAGGAGACTAGAAAACGATACCCGTTTTAGAAAAAGATGCTTCTTAGGGGGAAAGGGGAGGGCGAGGCAGTCCTCAGCCCGGGTCCATGGCGCCTGGCTTGGCAAGGGGAGTGCGGGTTGGGTCTCAGCCCCTGCTCCCTCCCTGCAGCCAGGTGTCCTGTGCAAAGCGCCAGCAGCACAGGCTGACAACCAAGGCAGTAGCTGAGATTCTTGGATGCGCAGAGCTTTCTCACGCATGCCCATCAACATTCCTCTCATGGGCTGCGGTGGGCTCCTTGTGGACGCCTCCCTCCGGTCCATGAAACCTCTGGAGGGTGCGTCTTGTGAAGCACCATGGATGTGGACGCCCCTTCCAGCCCAGAGGGCTCCCCAAATTGCAGAATCCTTGTCATCCTAAAGTGGAGCCCTTTCCCCACTCCTCCCTGCACCCAAGCTGTGCCATGATCTCACCGAGCCACAGAGAAGGACCTGGGTGCCCCACCGAGTGGCACTAAGGCTCCCAGGCCAACAGCTCTTGCAGCTGGTGTCCTTGTCTACTGCTCTTCACAGGCGTCAGGATCACACATAGGATGTGATTGGGCCAAGGAACAATGAAGCCCTCTCTTTCCTTTCCGCACGGCTCCCAGCATCAATGAGCAAATCTGCCCTTCACGATTCCCTGTCTCCCTTCCTGAAACTAGTCTGCCCTCCCCCCGCCCCCCCAGTCCTCAAATGGCATCGGGGGATCCCAAGTAACACCATGATAGCAAAGTAAAACTCCCAAATACTATTTTTGTCCAAATATGCCAGACATCTGGGCGAAGAGTGTGGTGTAGGGTTTTGATTTCCTAGAACATCCTACCTCTATTACAAAAGTGACAAAATATTTGCATGACACCAGCTCTCCAGAGTGCGATAGGTTCCCTTCCCCCTCCATTGGGAAAACACAAGTTCACCTCACGGGAGGCTGTGTAAATGCCTGTTTGTGCTCCGCGGGGCTGTTTTCAGTCTCAGAAGGCATAGTTATGGAAAACAATCTTCATGTAAGTGGACCCAAGCAGTTCTAACCTGTATTGCTCAAGAGTCAACTGTGTTTGCAGTTCACTTTGGGGGTAACTACATGGTTCAATATGTGATACAGTCCAGTTTAGAATGAAAGGTCCAATTTATAATGAGGGGCTCTCATTTGTTTGGAAGATTCCAAAGTATTACTAATTATGTTACTTTACGACTGCAGTAAAAATATTACGAATTATTGTAACTAAATCCAAATTTTCCCAATAAAACATACCACACACCTTTCCCCCCTGTTCATCCGTTTTGGAACACTAATAAATGTATTGGTTATTAATCAGGTAGGGAGCTGTTACATTTTTAGTCTAGGTTGAATAAACTCAGTGGTATTAAATAGATTACAGTTTTGCAAGAGAAAAGGAAATACTATCTTTCCCAAGATGACATTTTTGGGTATCATTGTCAAAATATTATCTGGTAGAAAAACATTGCAAGAATGATTAAACTTCTCGTGTATTTAATTTTTCTTCTTCAGCTTTAACTAGTGCAAGTCCTTAAAATCTTGTGAAATGTATTTTTCTTTTTAATGTGAATAAACATAAAGCCCCCCCCAACTGATATTGATGGTTACTAAAATTCAACATTTTAAAGAAAATATTTGAATACATTTTACTTTATGGATAATTTTATATTTAAAATCAAGTAGGAATTATTTTATGTATCCTGATATAAATGTAGTATAATTAAAAAATTGTGTTTAAACATTAATTTTGATACATCAAGAAACAGGCCAGTTATACAGAATTATCAATCGATAATTCAGATCCTATTTCTTCTATGGAACAAAGCTAGAAGGAATTCCCTTCACTGGTTTCCCCCTGGGGATATCTGGGTGTGGTTTATTTTCTTTTCTGGCTGGAACAAAAATATGCAGGAAAATCTTCTACAACTAAAATTCCTTGTTCTTACAAACAAACTTAAGGAGGAAAAAAGCAGCAGATCAAGACTGGCTTAATCGTTTGTTTATACTGGTGTATATACTGTATTGGATTTTTTCCAGGTTAAAAAAAAAAAGCCACAGGGAAGATATATGAAGCAGTATATTTAAGCTACCAGCTCACACATTCTAATAGCTGAAAGTATATAAAGATATGAAGGTGGAAGTAAAACAGTAAGCAGTTATGAAACATAACATGGGTTCTTATTCTTTATGAATTTAAAGGAAGCTAGAACCTGGTTACAATATGCCACATACAGTTCAGAACCAAACAAAGGCTGCTTAATTGTTTACTTTGCTTTTGCTCCTTTTAGGAAGTGAGGAAAAAACAGCTCTCTGGACACTCAAGCTTATTTTCAATTAAAACCCCTATAAATTAGAAAACATCTCATAAAACAAGGGAAAATGGAAAAATATTATTCAGAAAAACTTTATTAAATATATTTTTTTCTATAATGCCTTGGATTGTGTGATCAGTCTTAAAAGGACACTTAAAATAATAATTCAACCTCTGTGTTCCTGTTTAGGATAACACATAATACTGTTTTTTTCCCTTTGGTGCAAGTAAGAGGAAAAATTTATTCTTGCTTAGTTTTGAGCATTGAAAACACTTGCCCCTCCTCCAAACTCTGCCATTTGCTCATGTCCCACATGAATAAAAGGATGCCACTTAGAAACCAGGGCCTTGCTGCCATTGTATTTTTTCTAATTAAAATTCAGAGTATTAAGCACAGTTGAGTACGTCCATGCATCCATGACATACCGTTATCACATACCGGAAGCTCCAATCAAGAGCACTGAGCAAGGCTCATTTCATAACATCATTAACATTCATTGTATGCTGTGGCTCAGAAAGGCTTTGTCAAAGCAGATAATAACAGCCTGTCAGGAAAGTGCAAACAGAAATTTATATTAAATTGTCCTTTCTATCCTTTTTTTTTTTTTCTTCAATATGGGAAGCTAGCTGCATTTCCAGTATATGGGCTCAGAGCTTAACTTAAAAGACTTCCAGGTTCTTAAGACTGCAAAATATTACATAGAAATAGAGTCTATTTTTTAAAAAGTTAAGTAAGAAATATTTGAGTAACTAGGTGGGGGTAAAGTATTCGAGCATAATGACTGTATGAATGAAAACAAAAGAAGGTGTAGTTCAGGAGTGTGAAGGTAGATAGAACTCATGAGTCATAAGGCGGGGTGTTTAATTTGGAACGAGTCAAATGAAAACATTGCTTTCTTTTCCTTAAGAACTTCTGATGCTCTTTATGTTATAATCTCAGAAAAGAAAGCTCTGTCATTAAAACATTTTTTTCTTTTCTACCCTGTTGAGTGAGGACGCCTGGGGAGACAAACTTCACACAGTGGCTTCCTGAATGTAGTTGTATGATGTTATCTGGAGAGAATTTACTTCTTTAGACTCGATACTTTTCTTTGCCGTGTTCATTGATCACACGTATGTGCTGAAACAATAAAGAATTTAATAATGCATCAGTTTCTTAACAAAATATGAGGCGCTGACAATGTTATGCAATAATAAAGACCATCATCCTGTATTGGTTACTGTTTATTTAAATTCTAGAAGCCTGATGCACGAAATTTGTGCATGGGTAGGGTCCCTAGGCCTGGCCGGTGATCAGGGCCGATCTGTGGGGTGACAGGTGGGGTGATTGGGCGGCCCCCACTGGCACCTACCTTGGCTGGCCTGGCGCTGGCTGCTTGCCAGCCTGTCCCCCACTGCCACCACCACCGGTCACCTTCCTCTGTGGGGA